GCCTTGAAAAATGTGGCCTATAGAGCGTACCATCCACCAAAATATGTCCTTTTACCCTATAAAAGACGGAACACTGGGGGCAGCATCACCAAAAGTTATAGGGGTTGATATTATACCACGATACACCTCAATACAAAATTTGAAAGAAATCCGTCAAGGAATGTGGCAGTTAGAGCGCACACAAGAATATGACGCGGCGGCGCGTAACGCTGCTGAATCTAAAGTACCCTACCGGCATACTGCCGGGGGATACAATGATTAGTGATGCGCGGTCACGCGTATTGCACGTTTTTTTTAGCGCAACATGATGCGCAGTAGTGCGCGTAGAGAGCGCTAATTATGTGTGTGCATCCCACCCCCCCCCCCCCCCCCACTCAGTGTAATTTAGGGTACGCATATGCGTTTTTCCCTCCTTTTGAAAACACCCCCCTAAGTCCGGAGCCAGATTTTTGTGTATATATTACAAGCAGGACTTTGGTGCGTGAAAAGTACCCCTTTACCGACATTTTGGGAACACGGCCGGATGCGGTCCCTCCGCCACCGGAGTGAGGGGCCGGGGTGCATGGGCCTATTCTTGCGCAGCACTATGCGGAAATAGGTAAAGAGGTAATTAAGTGCTCTTATTATATCTATGTGTGCGCACTAAATCATGCTTATTAAATTTGAGATTTATTTGTCACATATTATATGGAAAAGTGGTGTCTTTTGGCGAGTCTTGAATGTATGCTCGCGCGCATGTAATATAACCAATGGGCACAAGCTTCAAAAACCGTTCTTACGTCACAGATATTGGTGTAACTTTGCAATGCTGCAAAATACAAGGCTGGCGCGAACGGTATTCTATTGTCTATATTTTTTTCTTGTATTTTCCAGAATATGAGAAAATAATTTTAAGTATTTGTGTCGGAATAGGCCTCGAAAGAAATATTTTTAAGAGAATTTTGGCACCAACCCTTCCATAGCAATGCACGTACTTGCACAATTCGAAGCAGGAAACATAATCGATAACCCCGTGTTCGAGATCGGCTCTGTTTTCCAGCAACGGATTACCCTACGCATACAGCGTTTTCACTTAGTGCGGAATTATCCCTCTCTGTCATATATCGAAATCAAGCTGATTGGTCTAGAAAATTCGTCGGAAACCTTGAAAAAAGTAAGAAGATTAATCTTTTCCATCCAATCACATTTGGCGACAGTTCGAGCTCATTAGCATAGAGAGTTATGACGTCATATCATGCCATGACTCACCTTTTCGTGGCTGTGTGTGTAGGGTCATGAATTATTCATGAGACGCACCTGTGCGCGCTGAGCAAAGAAAGACGCGTACAGATCCACTTTAGGGGAATTTCGGTCTGAAACTTTTCCATATGCCATATTATACTGTCACGAAACAATCTTGAGTGAAATCTTTTTACATCAAATAATACTAGGATCTATAGGAGTTTCGTAGTATCAAACAAAATGATGCATGTTTTCATTAGGCGTTCGATCTATCCGTCCTCGTTGATGATGTTGGTATATATCGCGATAAGCCAACGATAGATATATATACAGCCTCAACTCGAGTGCGGATAGATCGTATAATGAACTCATGCGCATGCATCATATGCAAAACGTGCATGAGACTTGGTAGGTCTGGGTCGCGGTATCGTGCATGGGCATCCACCTTGATCTACTGCAGATCTAAAGATCGGCAATCATTGCGCAGGCGGCGGCCGGTAGTCTCGCCAATGGGCATTATTACCCCTTTTTTGTTTTCTCGAGTCGGTCTGGCCCTCAGGGCTAGAAAATTAACCCTAAACTCGTATACCGGCAAGCAGTGGCGTAGACAGGTCCGTACACCTGGGGGGAGGGGATGACTCAGGGGCGGATCTAGCTTTTTGCTAAGGGGGGGGGGGGGGGGTTGACCAATAATGACGATACGGAGCATCGTCCACGAGCCGCGAAGCGGCGAACCGATTTTTTTTGGGGTGTTTATTTGAACCCCGTAAGTGATGTTTTCCTGGCATCTATTAACACAATGGAGAACATAAAAAGCAGTGCATATAATAACGTCTTTTTAAATCAAGTAACAGTTAAATACACAGTTATATCCAGAGTTATCATGTGTTTGGTTAAGTTACCAGATGAGTTGAATATCTTCTCACAATATTTGCACTTGAAAGGGTTTCTCTCCAGCGTGCGTTCTTTTTTCTTTCTTTTTTTCTTTTTTTTTTCTTTTTTCCCCCTTTTTTTTTTTTTTTTTTTTTTTTGGGCCGCCCAAGGGGGGGGGGGGGGGGTTTAAACCCCCTTAACCCCCCCCCCGTAGATCCGCGCCTGTTTAATCTTGTGGTTATCTTGTGGTTTCCAAACCACAATATAACCACAAAAAACTTGTAAGATTTTCTTTTTTTATACCGCCTGAATTGGCTTTGACCGTGTGAATGCGGCTAATAATAAACACAATTACAATAATGATGAGGATTATTATTATCATCATCATAATTATTATTATTATTATAATTGTTATCATTATTATTATTACTATTATTATCATCATTACAAGCGCGTAGCCAGGATTTCATTTTAGGGGGGGGGGCGGTAGTGAGCACGCGAAGCGTGCGAATCACTTAAAGAGCGCGCAAAGCGCGCTCCCTAGGGGGGGGTGGGTGCAGGGAGGGGGGAGTTTCCCCCCTCCCGCGCGAAGCGCGAAAGCTTTGAAAGAAGACGATTCGTTGTACCTTTCTCGACTCATAATCCTTGTCTGAATTCAGTCCCTCCCCTCTCTGGCGCGAAGCTTTGACGTTTCATTAAATTATTAGAGAAAGAAGACGATTCGTTGTACCTCTCTCGACTCTTAATCCTTTATCTGTATTCAGTCCCCCTTCCGCGCGAAGCGCGGAAGCTTTGAAAGAAGACTATTTGTTGTACCTTTCTCGACTCATAATCCTTATCTGAATTCAGTCCCTCCTCTCTCACGCAAAGCTTAGACGTTTCATTAAATTATTAGAGAAAGAAGACGATTCGTTGTATACCTTTCTCGACTCTTAATCCTTGTCTGAATTCTGTTTCCCCCCCCCCCCCCCTCTCACGCGAAGCTTTGGCGTTTCATTAAATTATTAGAGAAAGACGATTCGTTGTACCTTTCCCGACTCATATTTCTTAATTTGAACTCAGTTTCCCCCTTCCCGCGCGAAGCGCGGAAGCTTTGACGATTCGTTATACCGTTCTCGACTCCTTTTCCCTTTTTCTTCCTATACGTCCTCTTTCTTTTTTTTTCTTCTCTTTCTCTTTTTTTTTTTTTTTGCCGGCGTTTTTTTGGGGGGGCGACCGCCCCCACCGCCCCCCCCCCTGGCTACGCGCCTGCATCATTATGACTTATTAAGTAAGCAAATATCATTCCCCAAAACCTGGGGGGGGATGATTGTACATGCCATCCCCCCACCTTGTGAGGTGGGGGGGGGGGGGGGGGATGCATCCCCCTCATCCCACCCCCCCCCCCCCCCGTTGTCTACGCCCCTGCCGGCAAGTACAGCAGGATTTTGAAACTATAGTACCCTTTTTTTGTAAATAGCCCAAAATGGACGTTTTGAACCCCTAAATGCGCGCGCACCACGCGGACCGCGTCCAATCTAAAAAAAGCTCCCCTTTATACGCGTTTTCTTGGTCACGCATGATTACGGTATCTATAGTTGACGACCCCCCCCCCCCCCCGGCCCCACGGGGGGGGGGGGCGTTATTTTTTTTCGGTGGCACAGATTGGGGTTAGGTGCGTGTTGAGCCTATGGGAAAGTTTAGGGTTAGGGTTAGGGTTAAATCAAGACCCCTTGGATCTTGGATCTTGGATTTATTTTCCTCCGAAGAAGAGTTTTGACTGGAGGTGGTGGAGGGTGGACGATTACATTTTGGAAAAAAGTTCTTTAGTAACTGCATTTTTAAATGAGAGCGGGGAGGTTTGGTCGATGGTTGCTTGTTGTAGGTTATTCCATGTCTTTACAGTCCTTGGGAAATATGAGTTGGCATAGACGTCCGAGTTGGTGTGGCGAATTTCAAATTGGTTGGAGTGTCCTCGTCTACGTCTGTCTGGCTTAGGGTTGGTGTGAGATTGGTAGTCGGTGTCGAGTTGTCCCTTGATCATTTTGAAGAGGCAGGTAAGGCGGTGTGCTTCCCTTCTGTCTTTAAGAGATCCCCAGTTGAGTTGGTTGAGTAGCTTGGTAACACTGGTGTCCCATCCGTAATTATTGGTGACAAAACGTGCAGCCTGACGTTGAACTTTCTCGACAGCATAGATGTTTTTGGCTGTATAAGGGTCCCATGCTGCAGTGGCGTAGTCAAGGTGTGGACGAACAAGAGTAAGATACAACTTTTCTTTAACATTAGATGAGCAGTGATGGAAGTTGCGCCTTAGGAAGTTAAGGACCCTTGAGGCTTTGCCGGTTGTGTAATGAGTCTGGCTATTCCAGCGTAGGTCTTTCTGGATATTGATGCCAAGGTATAGAGTCTGGTTCGTTTCCTCCAGGGTAACATCAAGGATTTTGTAGGATTTAGTACCCGGTGTTCTCTTTCTTGAAACACGCATCGTTTTGCATTTAGAGGGATTGAAATGCATGCCCCAAGTCTTGGACCACTGGACCATAGTATCTAGGTCTTGTTGAAGAGCTTTCTCATCTTCAGCAGTTTTAATGGGACGGTAAAGTAAACAATCATCAGCAAAAAGTCGTGTTGTACTGGTAACCTTTTCATGAATGTCATTGATGTGGAGTAGAAAAAGGTGAGGGCCTAATACTGTGCCCTGTGGAGTGCCACTGAGGACTGGTAACCACTCGGAACATTGACCATTTACACAAACACGTTGCAGTCTCTTTGTCAGGAAACTAGATATCCATCTCTTATTATTTGCTCGAATACCATAATAGTCTAATTTCATGAGGAGACGCTGGTGCGGGATGACATCAAAAGCCTTTGAAAAATCAAGCACTGCCATGTCTGTGGTGATATTTTTGTCTAAGTTCTTGGCAAGGTCATTTGTTGTAAGAAATTCCTGAAGGATGTTGATTTCCAGCCAGGATGTTATGCTTGGCCAAGTGTCGCATCAGGTTACTGTCTATGATGTGCTCTAATAACTTACAGCATGTGCACGTCAAGGAAATGGGGCGGTAGTTTGCAGGGTCAGTAGTAGCACCCTTCTTAAACAGCGGGGTGATATTCGCCTTTCTCCAATCTAGGGGGAGATCTCCGGTGTCCAATGACTGCTGAAATATAAACTGTAGTATGGGAGCAATCTCCTCTGCTGCGATCTTTAAAGCTTGATTCTGGATTTGGTCTGGTCCAATTGCTTTGGCTGTGTTTATATTGAGAAGAAGTTTGTTGACACCTTCAACGTCAACTGTGATGGGCGGCATGTCAGGGAATGTACTTGGAGGAAGATCTGGGAACGACGATGGAGATACATCCTCACGTGTGAAGACACCCTGGAATTGGCTTGCAAGGGCTTCGGCTTTATCCTTGTCATTCGTGAACAGCTTGTTGTTAGCTTTCAGCGGCTGAACTCCTGTGTTATCAGTTCTTCTTGATTTCACTCTTTAAAAAAAAACACCAATCTGTGCCGCAGAAGAAAATAACGCCCCCCGGGGAAGCAGCCCAACCTGGGCAACTCTGCATTGCCGAGTTGTTAAGGGTATAAGGCCGAGCTCGTTTGTTCAGGGTCGAGCTTGGTTTGAGTTTGGTCGAGCTCACTAACCTCTCTGTGACGTGTACTTTTGGCGACTTTGGGACGGGTTGTTGACGTGATGAATTGGAATCATAGAGATATACTTAATAACACTAGAGGGCGTACTCGCTCAAATTGCTGTGTGGACCTGGAGCTGTGGCCGCCATTACTAAGGAGGGCAGAAAAACGAACGACCCAACAAGGTACTGTGCACAACATACGTGGAAAAAATTGGAGAAGCCAGGTTCGTGCGTTGCATTTGGATGTTCGAACCGAAGAAAGAAAGGGAACTGCATAATATTTCACAAGTAAGTTCTTATTAATGTTATGTTGATTAATAAGGAGATTTTAGAGCTAAAAATGTAGTTTATGCAGTGACTGTAGCTAGTATGTACCCGGGTTGTCTCATGACAAGCCACCGCAGCTCCTGCAGCAGCGGAGCGCGCCAGTCCACGCCCGCCGGGCTGGGGCAGGCATGGGTTAAGGTTCTGGGGATGGTGATGGGAAAATTCTGCTGCGCTGGAGTCGCTCGCAACTCCAAGAGCCAGAGAGTCCAACTCGGAAATATAACTCCATGAGCTTGATTCTATTAAAGAAAAGTCTAGAATAAAACGATACAATTAATTTTATCTTATCTAATTTCAAGATAAAAATCAAATGTCAACTTCTTTAGATCTATATTTTAACTAGACTAGGGTCTAGACTAGACTCTAGATCTAAGTTAGATCTAGACTCTAGATCTAAACTCTACTCTCTAATTTCTAAAGCCCGAAAGGCAAAGCCAGGTTAGACGGATATAACCATCTGATATGGGTCATTTCTTTAATAAAACTGACATTTGTTGACATTTCCCATAATATAATCAGAGGTCTAGTGGAGCCAGACGCAGTCTCAGTAGAACAACGGACGATATAGAGAGACTGAAGCTTTTGGTCTAAGCCAGGCTAGCCTGCCAAATTTCACATCACAGGAGTTATCCAACTAGGCTAGGCTAGCCTAAAAATCCCACCGCACACTACACTATTTCTATCAAATTTGCTTATGACTTGCTGACATCATTATTATTTTATTTATTTGGCTGGAAGCTGCTTTCAGTTTCAGTCTTAAAAATCACATGAAATAGCATGAATAGTAGAACAATTGTCATGTTATGAGAAAAAACTCATTATTGTTTCCATTTGCTTTTATTGTAATGCAGGAATACACCCAAGGGAGGAAAGGATGTTACACACCACATCTCATTCTTAGAGCTGTGCCAACTGTCTTTCCTGGACATCCTCCCTATAAACAGACCCATGGCTCAAGACTCCCAGCAAAACCATGTACAACATCCAAAAGTGTTCCCGTGCCTCCAAAGAAACCCTATGACATTACAAAAGAACATGACTATTCTTTTTCTGTCTGAGTTGATTAGAAACTGAATATAACCAGACAGCAAGTGCAAGATGCCAAGAAACAGCTTAAAGTGGTGAAACAAGGTAAACAGGAGAGATGGAAAAACCAGGACTCTCTTGCAGGAAGTCCACGAAAGCAAGCTCATTAGCCAGGATCAGCTTGACCTACTTCAACACAACTTTGGAGAGAACGCATTTTCAGGAAAAACAAAACTACAAAGACAGATCGGTCTTTTATATTTTGCCTCTTGTCTGCATAGCTTATCCACTGGATGATTGACTGTGAAGCCGTTTTAAAACTGGAGAGAGCTTTCAATAATCTTTTAAAAAAACAGAACAATCTGAGACTTTTGTTCTGTGTAATAAAATAAAATTTTGGGGACACATTGTGACAGTTGCACAACCTAACCATAATTTTCTGTTTGTTAACTTTACACGAAGGCAAACTAAAGTGGAACTTAGAAGAATTGATTACATTAGGGGTTAAACAAAATGTACTTGAATTTTGAGTTGTTGTGAGGTACACTGTATTTGAATATTTACTCTATAAGCTTCATGATTGTACCTGCTGTATCTGATTCAGTTGCTATAATTCGTCCCTATTTTCAGGAAGTGACGGTAGTGAGGAAAATCGTAACGCAAAGTGAATGCATTTTTTTTCACTACCGTCACTTCGTGAAAACAGCGACAAATTTTTGCAAATTATTTGCACTCTACATGTGCTTTGATTCTGCAGGTACAGTATGGATAACCTGAGATAAACATGTAGACCTTTTTTTATAACATTGTCTGGATTGCTCTCAACCAAGTGATTTACATCATTAAAGATGAAAAGCAAGAAATTCACATCAAGTGAGCCCATTTTTAATAAACGAGAAGAATTCACAGATGTGTGGCAATTGAAAAGCCTGTGTAATGCACACCATATACACACCCATAGATCGTTTTGTACATAGGTTTGAATTTTGTTCCAAAATGGAAAACTGCTTTTGAAGAGATTTGATAACAGAAAAATTATATGGAATAATGTCACTAGATGTAAACCCATAAGATTGTGCACTCTTTGGCTTGTTGTATCTACTGTGTACATTTGAGGGTAATCAGTTTCAAATTTATTATTACACCTGATGAATAATGATGTCAAAAGACCATGTTACTATGAGGTTTCACTGAATAGTGTAGTTCAGTATCCTGAGATGTAAGTCTCTTCAATTATAGTTCTTCATAGCAATACAGGTGACTTGGAATATATATGCTCAATTACTATTTCTGGTTTGCATTTATTACTCGATGTATTATTTGTAAATGTGACGCGCCTGCGTGCGCTTGGAGCCAAGACTAGTTAATAAAGTGTTCGTTATCGCTGACATCTTGACACATAGACATTGGCCTCCTGACATTTATGTTTTGGGAGTTATTGTGGTGGTTTTGGGATGTGTAATGCTTGTCTTTGGTGGCGAATCAATTTGTTGTGGTTGTGTTGCCTATGATCCGTGACAGTATATTTGGGGCTAAAATCTGAGGTGTTGTTTTTGCAATGTTTGTCTTTTCAATTGTGATGTATTATTGCAGTATATATGTCCTATAAAATGTCAAAACTTAAATGCCTATGCTGTAGAATATCAACACACGTGTGCCGTGTGGTAATAAAAGGTTCATTTATTCATTTTTTTCTTCAAATTTAATTATAAGTTTATTCTCTAAAACTGGTTGATGAAGAAAATAAGAAATACACTGTATCAAGGAGAATATTATTTATGGAGAAAAAAAAGTGGTGTGAATAAATAATTATTACATCAATGATCAGCTGTTTTTAAAGAATATTCATATATATTTATAGTGAACTGTAAAAAATTGAATTACTCTTTCAGACAAAAATAGAGATTTTATAGAGAATGGGTGAAAGACATAAGGTGTGAATTTGATATAAAATGAGTGAGAGAAGAAGAAAAAGAATGTTTGGATGGATGGATGAATGATTGGATGAGTAAATAACATAATTTTTTAAAATTAATGTGTAGGTCTATAATTCTTTCCTTCCCCCTCTTCCTATCTTCAGTATCGTCCTTTATCTGCATTGCCATTATCTACCTATCCTTCTATATTATATCTATCTATCCATCTATTTATGTGTCTAGCTATCTACATACCCATCTCTATCCCAAATCTATAAGTATCAATCTGTTTATAATAGTCATAAACATAAAATGAATATATTACCTTTAAAGCATTTTAAATCAATAAACCCTGGCTCTCATAATAACTGAATTAGAAAGACATTGGCCCCCGGCATTGGCCCTGTAGCATAAAACTTTGTTTAATATCATGACATAAATATCAAATACAAGTCCCAAATGCTTGATTCTAATTGGTTGAAAGCCAAGTAATATTTAATGTCATAATATCGCAGTTTTATATTGACAAAGAGGAAGAAAAATTGAAGATATACTGAAATATAAATAGCTTTTTGTGTCCCTTTTACCTCACCATAACATCCGTAATTAATCTTGACCTACACCAGATACCATGACTGAGGCATGAGTAGGGTTCATGCATTATGCAAAATACCACAATTATAACGTTTCATACTCGAAAACCGATAAATCAACCCGAAAAATGAAGCTTCACATTGCATATCAGTAACACAGTTTCGAAGGGAACATCCGGGTATTTCTCGAAGTTGTGCCCTCCTTAGTAATGGCGGACCGCGCCCCATGCGCGCACAGAGCTTTGAACGGGCGCGTATGACGAGTCCGCACTCTAGCCTTATTAAGTATATATCTCTATGATTGGAATAGATCGTGCGTGATACTCCTAACTTATGACCGGGCCCCCGCAGGCGCAAGGCGCGTTGGAGCTTCCCCGAGTTAGGCCCGGAGCAGAATTAGGGGAAATTCGATTGGAGCTAGCTGCGCTCTAGTGTAGCAAGGTATCCAAAATATAGCCTACTAAAACAGACCCCAAATTTTGTGGTCATCATTACCCTAACCCTAACCCTAACCCTAACCCTAACCCTAACCCTAACCCTAGAACCCTAACCCTAACCCTAACCCTAACCCTAACCCTAACCCTAACCCTAACCCTAACCCTAACCCTAGAGATAATGATAAACACGAAATTTGGGGTCTAAAATTTGAGGTCTGTTTTAGTAGGCTATATTTTGGATACCTTGCTACACTAGCGCCGCCTAGCCTGCATGTTACTTTTCACGTCACGTCGTCTTCGGCTCTTGGATCTTGAATTTATTTCCTCCTTAATCCTCCGAAGAAATTTGTGATAGTAGATCTACAAATATTATGTGTAAAACGTAAGTAATTTGGGCTTTATCTTCTTCTTCTTCTTCTTCCTCCGCTCTATATCAGAGATCAGCAGCTACCAGGCAGTAGACTAACAAAGTTAGACTCTACTGCAGTTTGTCATAGCAAGTATGTTCATGGTCGGTCATGTCAGGTATAATGTGTATTGGCGATTGCATTAGCACGAGCAGAGTGGATATTGTATAAAAATGACAGTGATGCGTTAATAAGAAGGTTCTTTTGGTTAGCATGGTTAGGGCAGTCAGTTAGAACATTGGGAAGTAGGACTGCCTGCGTGAAGGTCTCGGGGAGTCGGGGTCATCTGGTCTGAATAGATACAGTATACTAGTCTATAATTATAATAGAGCGAGTGTCGACTGCTGTACGCCCTTGTGGTGGAGATT